GTTGTGCGGAGCCACATATCAAGGCAGTCCAAGTGATTACATTCCTTGCAGGCATCAAATCAAAAACCCTACAAGCACACTTGAGAAAACCACACTTGGCGTACATATCAACCAAAACTGTACCAATTTCCACATTCAACTCCCACCCATTTTTTACCACAAACCCATGTACTGATCTGCCCATCAACAATCCAAGAGAACCCACCTGAGCACAACCCGACAGGACAGATCCCAAGGTAATTTCATCAGGTTTTGACCCCTCATCCGACATCATATCTCGGAAACAAGCCAACCCAGAATCGTATCTTCCATTACTCACATAGCCTGCAATCATGACAGACCATGAATCAACATTCCTCAAAGGTATAGCATCAAAAACCTGACGGGCACTATTTATATCCCCAGACTTAGCAAACCCATTCAACATGGTACTCCAGGTAACAGTGTTCTTCTCAGGCATTTCGTCGAACAACCTACACGCATCATCCAACGAAACAACCACAAAGCCATAGAGCAAAGAGGTGGCGACGTAAACGTGGGTAGCAAAGCCTATTTTGAATATATGGGTGTGGAGATGGCGAATAATGTTGAGGTTGTGCAAAGAGGTTCAACATTTAAGGGTAAAGAGTGCGGAGAAGGTGTCGAAGGGAATCGATCGGCGGTGCATCTGACAGTAAAGGTGTAGAGCTTTACGGGGAGAGGAAGCAGTTTTGATGGCTAGAGCCCATGAACTGAATGTTCTGGCGAAGCAAGAAAATGGATTGTGGGCGAGTTTAGACATGGCTTGTGCTGCTTCAGTTCCAAGAATGGAGAAGGAGAAAGAAGAAGAGGCTTCGACTCACGACATGGAAATGATACCACCAACATTGTTACAAGGGTCGGGTCACAGTGCTGGGCTTCGTATGGGCACTTTAATATATAAATTTTTTTAAATAATTATCAAATAATATTATTCTTTTGCTTATAATAGAATATTAAAAAACCTATTGTTATAATATTTTACAATAATTTTAAGTATAATTTTTGTCTTGTTTGGTAGTATTATATTGTGTTAGTTACAATAGGATTATAGGTTTTTTTTTTTTGTTTCTTATCTAAAAATATATAAAATATTAAATAAAATTATTTATTTATAATAAATTTATATTTTTAGATAAAATATTATGAAAAAAAAAGGGTAGTCTGTAAAATGACTTCAATTCGAAGCTTTAATTGGTTAGATATTTCTTTCATTTGTATTTTAAAAAGTATGATTAAATGTTAAGCAAGAAAAATTCATATAAGATTACTGCTAATTGGGATTAAGTTCTCATTTTTGAGATGAAAGGAAAATGATTGATATTTGCGTAACAACCGAAAAGTTGAACTTCACTTATATTTTATATTTTGATATAAGATATTTTTTTGTATCAACTCCTGCTGTCCAAAATTTATATTAGATTTTAAATATTCTAGAATTAAACTAAACTAAATTTAATAAAAGAAAATTTTTTTAGTGTTCATTTTTTTATTTATGAGACTTAAATTTAAAATTTTATTTAAAAAAATAAATTTCATTTTATTCAAACAAATAAATTATTGGTGACCTACGATTTTTAGTGTTGTGTGATGATTTTAGTCTTCGCTACATAAAAATTGGTTTGGAACATAACACCCCTACTAAAAGGAGCGTAACATGAACTCAAAAATTTAATTTAATTTTAAAATTAGTGAATAGGAATTAAAAGAAAAAAATATATTATTAATTTTTTATTATATAATTAATTTTTTATTATATAACACATCATTTAATATTTAATTAAAAAAATAAGTATAATGATTTTTTTTCCTTGAACCTAAGGAATTTTTTGGGATATTTATAAGCAAGGGGTAACGGGGATACAGGATCGCCTAACTAGGTGACAACCTGCGCTGGGGCAGGGGTTCCGTAAGATAATGAGTTTAGATGAAAAGTGAAATGATTGACATTTGCCTCAACTTAATTCATATTGACTTTGTGCTTTTAATTAATTAACATGATAAACAATACAGTGATAATGATATGCAAGATTGTGTATTTGTTTGATTTATTATTATTATTAGAAAATCAAGTTTTTTTTATAGTGAATTGTATATTAAATGTACAGTTTATCTTATAAATTTATTTAAATATACTTAACGACATAATATGAAAAATAATTTTATTAAGAATATTTAAGTAAATTTATAGAGTAAATTACATTTTTAATACACACTCAATCTTGAAAAACACTTTTTTGTTATTATTATTATCATTATTAATAATTTTTTATTGTATATTATAAGAGATAATTATTTTTTATTTTTTATTATATTTTACTCGTATATCATGTTACTTAAATTAAGGATATCTTATTTTCATTAAAAAATTATTGTTAAATTATTTACATCATTTTTTATTTAACATATTATTTAAACCTCTCACAATCGAATCATTGCTCACTCTCCCCTGCTGGGACGAGTTGTGGAAAGAATGGCCAACCGATGGCTCGTCAAATCAAGATTGCTTGTGTGTGTTGGAACCCCCTCGTTGAGGTCGGGAACACTGAACTCGTTCATGTTGTCACTTCAGCCCGCTAGCCATTTATCCTATACAAACAAAAACAATAACACTTAGATCAATATTGCTAATCATCTTTAAAAATAAATGCGTAACTGGGGGGTGGAGGTTTGCTACATCCACAAACCCAAAAGCCTCTAACTCAAACAAGGTAACTAGGGTTTCTAGATCTACTGTTCCTTCTTCATCAACAAACCGTAGAATCCTTTTCTTAATTTTCTTGTCCACGGAGTCAATAGTTGGGTAATTCGTATACGAGCTCGGTGAGCGCCACTCACATATGCTAGCAGTAAGCTTGTTATTCACTCTTTTTGTTTTTGTGTCTTGCACAAAAATGAATCTCCTCTTCTAGCTCACTACTTTATTTTTAATGTTGTGGAATATGATTATCTTGTCACTCCCTAACATGTAATACCACATCGTCATCTTCTTACTTGTTTGCCTTGAAACAAGGATCAAAAAATTACCGACCTAACAGGCACTTGTAACCTTGCACATAGCAACATGAATCATATTATAAACTCCACCAAGTTCGATGTAAGTTGTGTCAATGCTAACCCATAGTCTACCAACATGTCAAAAATCATCTCTAGCAGTGGAAATTGTAAACTGGCCTCAAAATTGTCTATATGGACAAGGATCCACCAGTTAGAGGGTATCGAGCATGCCCACTCCTTTACCGATGCGGGTCGCACTAATATGGTGCAAGGAATATGATACTGTTTCACCACCTCATCCAATTTCTTCAAACTTTTGATAGTGGCTTTATCGTCTGCCACCTCAAGATGAAGCACAGTTTTGAATTTGAATCCTACTGCCAAATCTAGTGGTGCTTTTTAGACGTTAATGACTAAATTAGGGCGAGCAAGCATTAATTCCCATCCCTCCAAGGTAGACACATTCTCCTCTTCCCTTTCCGTAGTCATGACAACCTGCCTTCCCCTATCACCTCTCTCGCCTTCCTAGGCAAGTCCTATTTCATTTGTGGAAGAACTCGAGGAACTAGAAGAACTTGAAGAGCGGGTGTCACTTGAAGAGCTTGTGCTACTCACTGGCGTAAGAAGTGTCTGCAATTCAAGCCTGTCTTGTAAAATGGGAGGCAAAACCATCACAATAAGCGCAACTAACATTACCCCATCTTCTTATTCTCCCTAGTTACCCCCAACTTCTTGTAATTCCCTAAAAGGATCCATGATTACATGTATATTCAAAATCGAAAGTGATGGTTTGTTCTTCTTATAGTATTTTCCCCTACCGAAAGACCTGCAACCTTCATAAAAATGGCAGAGCAAGAAAAAGAACCAAAAGAAGACCAAAAACAACAGTGTAGAAATGGAACGCAAAAACAGTGAAAAAGTAAGAGTGCAGAAGATGAACATAACTGGAAATGGTTGAATTGTCAAGTACAACCCTTCTCATTTCCTTTTTCTCACCAGATTATGTGTACCTTGAGCATTGTACCCATGCCCCCATAAAAACCAATAGGAACCAAGGTTATCAATTCCGTTTC